CATGGATACAAACCACACTCCCACCAATCCAGAGGGTCATATCCAACATTAAAGAGGTATACCTCATGGATAGCTTGACTGCTCAACTAAAAGGGACCATGTCCAGCTTCGACAAACTATGGGACCCATGGCAGAATAGTGATCTCTCAAATGGAGAGACTATATAGGACATCAGAATAGCGTAAGGGCCACTTAGGACCAGGGGAGGCAATAGACACCCTCCAGAGGACTCCACACAATACCAGAAAGCACCGACTTGACGTATTACCTTACACTCCCCCCCCCCCCCTTCTTTCTCTTCTTCTTTCATTTTACAACAACTCAAGCTAGATTAGGCTAAATGAAAAAGGCACCAACCACCACCACATGGTGTACGGACAGATAACAAAAACAGTACATCCTTTTCTGGAGGAAGACGTTCAGGTGGTGGATTAAATTAATTATTCTATTAAAATAGGGGGCAGAACACAGTGATCACACAGGGACATGGGTCCCTTGCTACGAACCACACCCCTAATATAACATAATAAGAGAATACAACATAAAAGACAAAAGGAGCTATCAGTACGTAAACTAAGTTTATGTTATAGTGAAGTTTAATTACATAAATCCTTGACAAGAGGCCAAATAAGCCCAATGTTAAATGTATCCTGTTGTGTTTTGATACTTTTTGCACCGACATACATATACCTTTGTTCCAAGATCTTGTATAATGATGGGCTTCTGCACAAGCCAAAAATGCTACTGTTTTGCATGCTACTCATGTCAAGATGAAAAAAAAAAACAAAAAAAAAAACCTGATTTCTCAAACATTATAAGGGGGGCTGACTTGAAATGAAATTGGAGGGATAGAATTTTGATTTTTCTCTGAGATTTGTCTCTTCAGTGTGGCTTTATGAACAAATTTATTTAAATCATGGAAGGCTTCAAATGGTTTGAATGGATTAGTAGGGGCAAATTTGAGACCCTTACTTAGAACAATTTTTTGGGCTGTTAAGAATTTTTGGCTTAGATTAAAAATGCCACAGCTGGAGGGATTTAAAGTGCTTATTGTCTTTCTAGCCTTTCTCTCTTGTTCTCATCTCCCACTTCATCTTCCTCTAAGCTTAGAGTCCTTTTTTTTTGCTCGTAATGGATAGGGTGTGTGTGTTCCTGGGTTGGGGTGATTTTGAATTTCAAAAAAATGGTCCTCATTCTCAATTTCTGAGTCGAGTGATAGTAGTTGGTATCTGTTGTGGTGACTTGGGATAGTAGGTGATTTTGAGTAGTTAGAATATTCATTGTAATTATTAGTACAGTGTAATCTTTGGCGTTTGGGTGAGTATTGGTTGCTTGGACCAGGTACATTGTAGTATTTTGGTGATTGTGTAGGTCTGTTGTATGTTCGATATGAGGTTTTACAGTATCTGTGTTGAGGTATGTGATAGTGATTGGTAGTAGGTGGGTGTATTTTGTGCAGGGGTGATTTGTACTTGTTGTCAGGGACTCTATAGTTTACCGCTGCCTACCCAATAATCCTGTGTTAATTAGCGCTGAACTTCTGTTTTTGACCTTCTGTTTTGTGTTAGTGTTATCTGCCTGGGATGTATCCCCCCATTTACAACTTGATCTCACTTCTCTCAATATGTACTAAAGATTCTAGCTAGATATTTTAATCGATGTTTTAATAACTCAGGATGATTTACGAGATTTACGTGATTGGGAATGCATGACATTGATTAAAACGTCTAGCTTAGCCTCAAGACTAAAGTTCGGATATATAGTAGATGATGGAAATATATAATCTAATAATTCTCCAAAATAGAGAGTGAGATTTAGAATGACTTGTGTGACAAACTCCCCTTTTCCTGTGAGTTTGCCACGAGTTTTCGGAGGGGCCTGTTTGCCAGCCTCCTACCCTGTGACTATGGCCCCCGAACAGACCTGGCTAAAATACTTTAAAAAGGCTCTGCTCATGTGAAGTATGTACTTTTGTACTCCAGACAGAGAGACTGACCATTAGTATTAATTCTCTGGAACTGTTTTGGGCATGGGACCATGTGCACGGTCTGTCAAAAGGAGACTCTCAGGAAATTCCTGAACCCCTGCTCTGATCTTTGGATATGTTGTTCACCCAGATCAGGGCTATCAGGGGATGTTTATGGGGATATGTTGTGTTTTGGGGTACTTATGAGAGGAGGGATTGTGTGCTGTGTGTGGGACTGTCGTCCATTTAATTACTGTTCTGATTGGTTTGTAAACTTTGTGTCCCTGTCCCCCACAAGGTCCATGTGGGCGTATGCCTTGCTTGGGGACTTGCATAGGCCAGCTGTGGCTTCCATTAAACGCACTTGTTTTACCCCTCGGGTTGTTGTTACATTTTAAATGGGCACGTTACCCCACATTTTTGCTTTGCTCATCTGGTGACATCCAAGCACACTTGCTTGTATAATGGTTTGAATTTTATTAATTAAATTTTCTTACTACTATCTAGTCAGATTTAAAGGGAGAGAGGCTTGCTCTATTTTTTTTCGAACTCTTTCCCGAGGTGATTAAATGGTACCATCTGGTAGGAGATATTCTGGAAGCGTCAATGGAAATGATTTTTTAGGCACCCCAGGTCCCCATATATATAATTTAAAGGGGAGAACGGTATATATTCAATTGTATTCCACCCTGTCTAGACATCATAATCTGTCTAGTTATAGAACATGCTGTTCTAATGCTTTAATTTTATCTCCTTGCTATGCAGTGGTATTAGGTGGATATATGGTTTAATTGTATCTAATTTATTATATTTTGTTAACCCCCCTTTTTTCTTTTTCTTTTGTTGCCTTTGTTTTTTACTTATTGTAGCCATCTACCATTTATTTGTTTAGGATACAGAAACAGGGGGCATCTATCTCACAGTTTGTAAGATCATTTTGTCCGTCACTACGTTTTCCCTTTATGTGCCACCTGCTGGAAGAAATCAATATTTCCAGACCACCTAGACCTAATTATGATCACTTCAAATTATATAATTTCAGCATTGTTGCTTTGTCTTATCGCTTCTATAATGACTCCTTAGATATAAGATATAATATCAAAGTGTACATGCTAGGGATATATAAAAAATATAAAAATAATAATAAAAAAAATAACAAAGAAAAAGAAATATAAACACAACAAATAATAAATAAAAAAAGAAAAATATATAATATTAAAAAAAACTGTAAAAAAAACTACCATCACTTCAGTCTACTCTGCCTCTATTCACTTCTCCAGGCTTAAAGCCAGGGAGTCTGAGGACATGGAACCAGTGGATAGAGCTAATGTTTGCTCTGTGCGTACTGACAAACACACTTTTGCTTGGGGAGAATGCAGGCTCCGCTTCCTTAGCTCAGTGGAGTGCTGTGCTGTGTGCTTAAAGGGATTCTATAGTGCCAGGAAAACAAACCTGTTTTCCTGGCACTGTAGAATCCTACAGCAAGGGCCTAGATGGGACATACTTGTGTATAAGGGAGGATAGATAGGTGGGAGCAGCATTATGTAGAGATTTGAAAACAAAAACCAAAATTTTAAATTGAGCCCTATATCTTACAGGAAGCCAATGTAGGGACTGACAGAAGGGTGAGGTGTGGGCAGTGTGAGCGGACAGGAAGATGAGCCTCGCCGCATTCATTATGGACTGTAACGGTGCAAGTTGGGAGTACGTAAGACCACTGAGAAGTGGATTACAGTAGTCAAGGTGTGAAAGGACAGTGGAATGGACCAGCACTTTAGTCGCATCTGGCATTAAGTATGGTCGGATGCGCGTAATGTTTTTGAGATGGAAGCGGCAGAATTTGGCAGTAGACTGAACATGAGGCGTGAAGGAGAGGTCGGAGTCAAAGAAAACACCTAGGCAGCTAGCCTGCGTGGTGGAGCTGATGGTAGCACAGTTGACTTGGAGGGAGACAGACACAGGAGTAGCAACACTTGATGGAGGAAAGACCAGAATTTCAGTTTTGGTCAAGTTGAGTTTAAGGAAGTGGGCAGCCATCCAGTTAGAAATAGCAGAGAGGCAGTCAGAGACACTAGTCAAGAGGGACGGGGAGAGATCAGGAGAGGACAGGTAGATTTGCGTGTCAACCGCATAAGAATGATATTGGAAGCCAAAGGAGCTATTCACACACTACGCCTTACATACACTGCACCAATAGGCTTGCACAGTTCATTTTATAAGGGTATGCACCAGAAAATTTTATTTTTTAAAGTTATGTAATGTGAATATTTTTTTGTGTAGGTGTAGGGTGCTTGTAATTGTAGCTGTGTGTGAGGTGTGTTGTGGCTTTCTGTGTGTGATGTAGGCTGTCTGTAATGTGTGAATAGCTATTAGTGATGTGTGGGGCTGCAAGTGGGTAGCTGTGAATGATAAGTTTGGTCCACTGTGAGTGATGTGTGTGACAATGTGTAATGTATGGATAACTGTGAGTGTATTGCGGTGCATGATTAGCTGTAAGTGATGTGTGTGGATATATGTAAGTAACTCTCAGGGTTGAATTGGGAGTTAAAATAGACCTAGGTTATTTATGTCACAGTAACCCACTTTCATATTTTTGAAAATGTAACATTTTCATTCAGATTCATTAATATAAATAAGAAGACCTCACTAACCCACACAAGTATACATATATAGAGAGTGCAATCAGTCATGGGAGTGTTCATTTAGAGATGCACACACTCACACATACACATATACAATCACACACAGATACCTAATACACCCTCACAGTTACACAGAGAGACAAATTCACATAGATACATGCGGATACATACATAAGAACAAACACAAATACAGATACGCACTCACATATACACAAATACAGACACAAATGGTTGCACATTTATGGATATCTACATGAAGACACACAAATAAACACATACACTCTGAAATACATTCATATGCATGTAGGCATATTCACAGATACACATATTCACACATAATTACTCATTCACAGAGACATACACAAGTACACACACACTCACAGATACACATGCAGTCATACATGCAGACACAGAGAGTGCTATCCTGGTCCTCCCCAACTTGAAAAAAATAAATAAAGCTAAAAAGTACCTCTGTTTTAATGTTAAGGGCATGTTCTCCTCTCAGTCCTAAACTCGTCCACTGACCTCACTTCCTATCACTGGAAGGGACAATCATGGCTCAAGACACCATGACCACTTCAATTCAGTGAGAGTGTCATCATTGGACTGTCATCAGCCAGCCCAGAACTAGAGTTCCGGGATGGCTTATGTCAATTCTGTGCAACTTTTATTACACGGAATGCATTTATTAGAGAGTAATCAGTAGGACAGCATCGCTGGACCAGCAGGGAGCATTGGAGCATGGCGGGGACCCTGTTAAGGGGGGAAACCATTGCTAAACGGTGTGACCCATTACTAGGGAGCCAGACCAGTGTACTCCTCACATCATAACCACAGTAGTGTTTTGTTATAATGATTTGAGCAACACTTTAACTTTTCAGTCCAAATCTAGAGCCAATTCAGGCTAAATGAAACCCATCTGGATCAGTTCAAACAGGCTCTAATCTGGGGCCAGTCCTGTGCCAACCCAAATCAATTTAAATTTGGGTCTGTAAAAGTCAGACAAAGATAGATGTATCAAATATCCTCCAAATTTTAGCTTCGAAATGGCTCTAAATAATTTCTGAAAAAAGTAACTACTGGTCTTCTATCCAGGTGCTCAGATCCAGTATGGTAAACACTTGTCAGTATCCTAATAGGAAAAACAACAGAATAGATAGGGATATTGCTGGTTCTTAGATCAGTAATTATCTGCTTAAAGCAGACAACTTAGGAGACAAACTATGTTCCATACTCTATAAGTGGCACATAAAGAGTTAATAATCTGGGTGGTTGAGCAATACCAGTGCTTGCGGACTGCCACGTAGGTTTCAATCTGTGATAAAGGGATTTTTTTCTCCTATAATGTGAAATGGAAAAGAAATCTGTAGCCTCCTTTAGCTAATAGTAAAACGGAGGTAATGCTTTTCAGAGTTTCTTTAGTTCTTATCTGCCTAACAACTACATTTCAAAAAGTAATTTGATTTCACATGTTTCTTTCAATTTAACGTTTTATTGTATAATGTAGCATAAAACATATACGCTTTTGAAACAATCTACCGGTCAGTAAAATCACAGTATAAAGAGAAATCCACTTCCAAAGTGAGAATTTAAGGTAAATTCAAAGTAAATTTCAAATTTAAGGTCATAAGAGTAAAACTGGAAAAATTCTCTCAGTCAGTTATGCTTTCCATTCAGCTACTCTGGCCTTAAATTTGAAACTCACTTTGAATTCTTACTTTAGTGACTAACCCTGCTAAAGTTAGCTATTGGTTGTGCTAATATTTTTTGAATTCTTTATATTTTCTTTTATTTTGATTTACATGCTTTGCCCAACAAGCTATGTAAATTAAAGTGTTAAATGCATTGTTCAATGGCATGACAGCACTGCTGGAAGAATTGCATCATTCACCACTTGTCTCTGTTAATATTTCGTATGTCAATTACTTCTTGTCCAATATCCCCATTCTGTAATTGTAAAGTGCTGTAGAAAATGCAGTAAAAATACTATTAATAATAATAATTATAAAAAATATCGAGCAATATGTCTGCACTTCTCCATTGTATAAAAACAGAGAATATGAGAACCCTGAGAACGGAACAGAAGCTTAGAGAAACTCAGTGGCTAGCCCTTTGTTAAATCCCCACTCAGCTCTTAAAATAGTTTTTGTTCACTTGTGCCATTACAGAGAGAACATGTTCTGAAGCATATCAGACTTCCACCCGTAAGCGCAGGCCACAACCGAGATACAGCAACCCTGGTCGATCATTTCGTCCTTCTTTGTGCGTCGTCAGCAAAGGTCTAGCGGATACCTCTCTAGGCACAGGGAGCACGAGGTCCATGTCTGGATTACACTTTTAACTTGGCAAGAGCCAAGTTAATGCATTGCAACAAAAACAGAGAATATGATAGTAGACAAAAGCTTAGAAAAAGTCAGTAGCTTTCACGGCTAGGTAGGCAAACTCAACACTCACAGATCCTAATCTGCCAAAAAGGTATATACCATGTATTACTGGGCCTTAGAATGGCCGGATTTAATGTAAAGAGTAGTCAGAGAGAAAGCCGAGGTCAAACCTAGGAGAAAACAGCATAAACAAGCAAAGGTCGAGAACACAGAGAGTGGAGAGATGAATAAACAATCCAAAGTCGGTAACAAGAAATCCAAAATACAATTAAGGGCACTCGTGTGTAATTAAGAACCACAACAGGACAATCACAGAAAGGCCTGGCTTTATATAGCCAGGGCACTAACACTATTGGTTGGCATCATCTTGGAGCGCCTAGAGACCCGAATTCGGCAAACACCAAATTCGAGTACTTCTGCTCGTTTGTGCCGGTTGATTCATTACTTATAGTCACGCTGTTATAACGGTGCAACTTTATACAAATAGATGCACATGCACAGTGTGCAGCATCTGACCTACTGCTGGATCAGGGAGCTCAAGAACAGGTAAGCATTACAGTAGATTGCCCTTTGGTAAATCCACGCTCAGGTCTCAAAATATTTTTTCATCACTTGTGCCATTACAGAGAGAACCTATTCCAAGGCACATCAGGCTGATCTCACCCATAAGGGCAAACCAAAATGCTGGTTGATTCTCCATTATATGCCTGAGTGCTCAATGGATCATATGGATCATGGGACAGGAAAATCCCTGCAGCATAGAAGTACAGCCAGGGCAAGTTTCCCACTTGCCTTCACTACATTATTCACTCCAGGAAATGCTGCAATAGTGTCTACTGGGGTGAATGAGCAAAGAACTTTGTGTAAGTCAAATCAGCACACAGAGTCTTAGAAGAAAGTACATCCAATTTATTATTTTATAGCAATCATCCTAACCTAATTCAATTACATTCCAGGGAGCTAAATCTGTATGTTAACTCTCATGCAACTTTATGGCTCCCACTGGAACTAATCTACATACTGAGACATTCCAGGTATTTATAATGTTTTATAGACACATGAGTTACATTACTCACATGAGTTAAATTGTCAAAACATTTTGAAACTGTACTTCAGTTATTAAAATGTCCCAATCTGTTTGTTAGTTTCCTCAGTAACGCTGTAACAGTCGAGACACAGAGAAGAATAATGATGAATAATGGGACAGGTTTCTATCTGGAGAGCACCCTACAGATTGGTAAATATAATTCAAGCTTCTGAAGAAGTATTTTCATTATACTTGGGAGCATTTAAAACACTTCTGGATTATTTACCCAGCACTTCTGGTCCCTGAGCATTGTGCAAGGGATAGATGCTTTCCAAAAAGTTTTAGTTAAGATTTTACACTTTCACTGCTGGATAGAATATGATGCAATGGTTCCAGCAGCTGATCTAAACCTGGTGGCTAAATACAAAGTACCACAATGTTTTGTGGAAAAGAAGGATATGGCATATGATCCAACTTCAATCCTAACTTCTGTAAATCAAGAAGCTGGCTCTTAAAATAAATAAATATCAAAACAAGCATGATATCAACTATTTTTAAGATCAGACCTGGATTAAGGTTGTCCAGGGTGCTAGGCAGGATGACAGGTTGGGGTCCCTTTCTAGGGCCCTGAGCTCTGTTCTGTGAGTCTTGTTTGTGTGGTGCCTAAATGTTGTGTGTGGAGGAGAGCTCTGTATGAGGGAGAGTTTGAGTGTGCCACTGCCATGTGTGTTTTTGTGTGTGTGTGTTTTTGTGTGTTTGGTGGTTGGATTTTGTGTGTGGGATTATTGTTTGTCTGTGTGTAGGAGAGTCTTTTGTGTGTAGTGTCTGAGTTATGTTTGTTTTGCCCTCTCCTACATACCTTGTCCTGAAAGCACACTGAGACCATGATACCTGGTGGGCCAGTGGGGAGCATTTGGTCTACACCAATGCTGGGTGCAGATCACTTTAAAGCTCCCTCACAGTTCTGGTGCTCAGTTTATTTCTCAGAGCGCTAATTGTGGCTTGCTGAGCCATTGAGAGTGCAGAGCAGACCACAGCATTCACTCGAATCATAGGCGATGCGGTGGATCTCAATGAGTATTGGTGAATAGGGGCCCGGTCAGGTGTCACAGCTCTTTAACAGCATGAGTGAGCCCCTGCAATATCAGCAGTGTCAGTGTATGTGTGTGTGTGTCAGTGTGTTCATATCTGTGCATCTGTGTGTCAGTGTGTATGTGTAGATGTTTGTGTCTGAGTGTGTGTCAATGAGTCAATGTGTGTGTGTATCTGTATAAATATGTAAATATGTGGCAATGTATGTATATATGTGCATACATCCCAGAAATCAAACATCAACAATATGTGCAAACACACCTTTGCAATCAAACACAAACATTACATACAAACACACTCCTTCATTCAAACAACAATAATACACACAAATGTAAACAACACTATATACATACACACCTCTGCATTTAAATGCAAACATTACAAACACACCACTGTATTAAAATGCCAAAATTATATACAAACACCTCTTCATTTAAGCACTACACACAAAATTACACCTGCATTTAAAAGCTAACACTACTTACGAATACACCCCTTCATTAAAACACAAACATTGCAAACAAGTACACCAGTGTATTCAACTGACGACGGTACATACAAATACACCTGTACATGCACACATATACGCTATACAAAAATATGATTATATAGTCTCTAGCTATATCTCTCCAGCTGGCATTGCACTGTGGGAATTGTACGAGAGATGAGGATATATCTTTTGGCCACCCTTGTCCTAGATTGGGGCCCAATAATATTTCTTGCACCAGGGCCCTCACTACATGAGTTCCGCCATTGCCGTATGTGACATATTTTTGATTTACCTACCTGCTCAAGAGGGCCTAATCACAGCCAGAGCCCCAAAACCTGCCTGACTGCGGCCCCTTGACCAGCTCCCTGCTAGGTTTACTTACCTTTGGAAACAGCCCCTCACTGCACTTCTAATCTTCCACTACGGACCTCCCAGCCAACCTTCTAGACATAGAGAAGCACTGAGATGCAGGATGCTTCCGCAGCAATCGCCATGCTGCTCTTTTCTCGAATTGATAGATTGTTAGCTTGATTCAGCAGGGCCCTCATCACCCCTTGTTCATGTCTGAAATCATTTACATGCAATTTTTGTTTTCCTATTTTATTGTTTCATAATTACAAATAATAAATAGATGAGAGAATAAAAAGGTGGTGGGATTCCACATCCTTCTTGTCTGCTCCATCTTGAGTCCATTAACATATGACATTACAACCCAGCATTATCAGCCTGTACTAGTTCTATGTCCAAGTGGCACTCTAACCATCCCGTTGGGACTGCCCTAGGTGACAGACAGGGGGGTAGGGTGGGAGGGGGGGCACCCACCAAAGATTCCAAAGATTTACTGGTTGGACTGCCACATATCATGTGCCTGCTCAGTAGATGTCCTACCTGGCTGCCAGAATCTCACTGTATTGAGTTTCCCTCTCCCCTGCACATCCTGTACTGATGCTGATAGCCAGGATATAATGTCACCACAAACCCAGCATCAGTACAGTCCTGCAGGGAGCTGGTCAGTTAGCAGAGAGAGATCCCATCCCCAACAGCAAACCACTGAACCCCACAGATGAGGCTCCTCTCCATCTCTCTCTGTCAAGGTGAGAAAAGGTAGGCTAGATGGACCTCACTGTAAATTCCCCCCCCCAAACCCCTCCAAAAAATACATTGAAAATGAAGTGTGTGTATGAGAGTGACTGTTTGTGTGTCTATGAGTGTGTGTAAGTAAGTCTTTGTGTGCATATAAAAATGTGAGTCTGTGTCTATCCATGTGTTTTCATATCCGTGTTTCTGTATATTAATGTGTGTTTGTGTATTTGTCAGTATGTATATGAATGTAAGTATGTGTGAATATAATTTATTGGTTTTTTTACATTTGTATTCCTGTGAGTGGTTGTGTAGGCAGGACCCCAATGTGCTGCCTTGCCCGGGGGCCCATAATGATGTTAAAATGGACCTGTGTGTGAGTGGTGTTGTGTGTGTGTGAGGGGTGTAGTGTGTGTGTGAGGTGTGCAGTGTGTGTATGTGAGGGGTGCTATGTGTGTGAGGGGTGCTGTGTGTGTGTGTGAGGGGTGCTGTGTGTGTGTGTGAGGGTGCAGTGTGTGTAAGGGTGCAGTGTGTGTAAGGGGTGTAGTGTGTGTGAGGGGTGCAGTGTGGGTGATGGGTGCTCTGTGTGTTTGAGTAGTGCTCTGTGTGTATGTGAGATTTGCTCTGTGTGTGAAGGGTGCTCTGTGTGTATGTGAGAGGTGCTGTGTGTGTGTGTGTGTGTGTGTGAGAGGGGCTCTGTGTGTATCAGGGATTCAGTGTGTGTGTGTGTGAGGGGTGCTGTGTGTGTGCGGGTGCAGTGTGTGTAGGGGGTGTAGTGTGCGGGGTGCAATGTGTGTGAGAGGTGCTGTGTGTGTGTCAGGGGTGCTTTCTATATATGTGAGGGGTTGTGTGTGTGGGTGTTGTACATGTTTGAGGGGTGCTCTGTGTGTATGTGAGGGGTACTCTGTGTGTGTGATGGCTGCTCTGTGTGTGAGGGGTGCTCTGAGCGTATATGAGGGGTGCAATGTGTGTTTGTGTGTGTGTGTGTGTGTGTGAGGGGGGTGCTTAGCAATATAATTTTTATAATATGGTTAATTTGCTAAACAGTTTAATCATTAATTATACCTTTACTTGGAAAGTGAGGCGCAAAAACATTTTTCTGCAGACAAAAAAAGTTACTTTTTGCACTAGATATTCCTATATTCCAGATTGTTGAACTAGATAACTATGTGCATGTATTGCAGCATAACAAAAGTAGTTGATGTTTCAGTATATTACGTTGTTTTGATGTTTAATTAAAAAAATGAGCAAATGATGACAGGGGGATCAGGGGAGATGGTGATACAGGTAGGTAGGTAGGTGAATTGGTGACACTATGATGCCGTTTTTGACACTGGGAAAGTGATGCCAAAAGGTATTGTGTAGGGATTTTCTGACTGAAAGAAGTTCTGCATTGTGTAAAAAATTTTTATTTAGTAAAAAAAAACAACAACAAAAAACAATCAAGCACCATAGCAGAGTGATGTTCTGCACATCTGGTATATAAGGGGTTACTTTTAGTGAGACCTCTTTAAAAAGTTTAAAAGTGATCCCATTCTTTAAAAGATTGTTGAGTATGAACAAACACTATGCAGTAGAGGTGGAGAGCACTTCAAAGTAATTAGCCTGCTCCAGATATTGCTATATATATATCAGATCTTCACCAAGAGAACCACACATTTCTACTCTCCAAAGGGACCAAGCAACATGGACCAGAGCAAAGCCGTCTTAATGGACCGACCCCCAGTAAGTTATCTGAAGTGTCCAACTATTCAATGCACTTTACTATGCAGTCTTTAGTAGGAAGCATACATAGTGCAAAAGATGATCTGAGAAGACTATAGATGCAGATCTTTGTCGTGGGAGCAGATAATGGAAACATTAGATCTTTATTCAGTTTTCTCTCTATGTCCCAGGTGTACTCTGAATTACTGCCACTGCCAGGCATCCCATGTCTGGGCAGCTTCAAGAAGCTCTTATGCGTGGTCCTTGTTGTGGTGGTCCTGGTCGTGGTCCTTCTTGGAGTCCTGCTGATGGGGCTACATATGAGCCAGAAGCACACAGAGACGGTCAGTACTAATAAATCAATCATTAATCTTTAGCTAAGGAACAGTCAGCTTTGTCAATAATTTCTAATTCAATATACACGGTCACTAAATAGATTATGATCACGATGCATTATTACATTCATGAGCTAATGTACAATTAATTAATACACAAAGGCTAATATGATAACAGCTAATAAACAAACCACAAAGTCCATTCGCACCAGGTCAACAAAAAACGGAAGCTCCTGATGTAAATATTAGAAATATAGAAAGGATCACTTCAAGAACCGAAATCACTATAGCCCGCCAGGCATTTAAGTTCTACAGGGCACCTGCGGCTGCAAGTCCTGCTTTCAGACATCTCACTTTAGGAGAATCCAGTTAACTCAAAAGAACTAAGCAAGGATCACTGACTGAGAGCATTAACTGAGCCCGGGTCCTGTATCGGCCAGGCTTTTCTTAGTGACATCCAACTTCTCCTTCAGGAGAAGAATGGACACAGAACAGGCATCCAGGTATGTTTCAAACAATAGTAAAATAGTGAGCTGCAGGTAGTGTTTAACAGTTTTTCTTTAACTAAATATTAATTTAATGGAATAAAATAAACTATGAGTATTGAGCCTCTCAAGACCCACAGCTAGCCTTTTGAGATTAATTACTAGTGTGTATCTCATTCATAAACACTGGTTATTCATAGATTCAATATTACTTAGAGAAAGCATAAGGTTTTTTTTTTTGTTTTTGTTTTTTTACAGTTTACAGCCTTCAAAGACCAGGAATAGTATCTGTCCAAGAATAACCATGCACTGTCAGGACAACATTTAGGGAGAAATATATCAAAGCAAAACAGGTGCTATTCTAGGGCAAAGTACTACATACTCTGGGGCATTTTATAGAGATTGCTCCCTTTTAACACTATGCCCAATAATTGCACTTGTTTTGCCTTGATAATGCTCACCCTTTATGTTCAGGAAAGGTTACCTCTGCTACCAGCATTAAATTCGCAATCATCACAACATATTCTACACTCATACAGTGGTGTATCCTGGTTTTGTGCCGCCCTAGGCAGGACAAAACTCAGGCACCCCCCTCCTCCTGCGCCACCCCCACCCAACCCTTCCCCCCGCCCCACCTTCTAAATACACACACACACACACACAGTCAGACAGACACACACACAGTCAGACACACACACACAGTCAGATACAAACACACACACACACAGTCAGACACATACACACACACACACACACAGTCAGACACATACACAGACACAAACACACACACACACAGTCACAAACACACACACAGTCAGACACAAACACACACACAAAGTCAGACACACACACAAACACCGTCAGACACAAACACACACACACACAGTCAGACACAAACACACACACAGTCAGACACAAACACACACAGTCAGACATACACACACACACACACACACACAGTCAGACACAAACACAGAGACAAACAAAGTCAGACACAAACACACACACACACAGTCAGACACAAACACACACACAGTCAGACACACACACAATCACTCACATTAACTTTTTTTTTAATTTAAACCCTCCTCCCCCCAGCCTCCTTACCTTTGGGAGTGCTGGGGGGGGTTCTCTCTTTGTCCCTGGTGGTCCAGTGGCTGCCGGTCGGGCTGGGCAGCGGTGGCTGCTGGGCAGGCGGCGCTGGCGAGGAAGCACTTCCTCTGAGCTGACTGCTCAGCTCCCTTGCGCGCCGCAGAGTGAGGCTGGGAGCCGGAATATGACGTCATCTTCCGGCTCCCAGCCTCACTCTGCGGCGCGCGAGGGAGCTGAGCAGACCGCTCAGAGGAAGTGCTCCCTCGCTAGCCACCAGCGCCGCCCAGCCCGACCGGTATGTCTGTTAGCCACGAGGCTAACAAGGCATTTGCCCTGGGTATTTGGGGCGGCGTTTTTTGCCGCCCCCTGAAAAATGCCGCCCAAGGCAAATGCCTTGTTTGCCTCATGTCTAATACGTCTCTGCACTCATAATAGTGAATAAACCTTCATTGATATTAGTGTACCATGTCTTGTTTAGTTTAGGAGAGTGGTGCACTGTCCTAGATATCATATATATACATACATAAACATGGTCCTCATTATGTTTCAATAATTAGCTGTTACATGATTTGCTTGGTTCTTTTGATATGGCAGTCTGTGCAGCGCTGGCCCAGGGGGCACATAGATTGTGGCGGTGAACACCCCTAGCACTATTCTCAGTTGAAGTGATAAGAACTGGGAGTGGCAGCAGAGTGGGGAATGAATTAGGGAAGAAAAGGAAAAGAGAATCATTTTAGGGATAGATAACATTTATTTTATTTGTAGAGTGTGGGAGTGCACTATATGTGTATGTTCTTGAGGTGCAGTTTTGGTGGGGCAGTATTTTGTTCTTGGACCCAGGCAGCACAATGCCTTTGAGAATTGTGAAGTATTTACCAGAGAACATACCATTTGTATGCCACCAAAGTAAAACTTGACAGAAAACAATGTTACTCCATCATAATCTTCAGCTGTAATATACTAACTAAACAAGATATATGAATGTATGTATATATCTATGTATGTATATATCTATGTATGTATATATATATATTTATATATGAGTATATATATATATATATATATATATATATATATATAGTTAGTTAAATGGACTCCACCTACTTTGGACTACACTGGCATTAATGTGACACAGAGTCTTTGTTCCCCTTTCAGATATTCCAGATGTCTCTGCATGATGGCACCGAATCTGCCCTTCGCAAGGAAGGGGTTGCTACTTTTCACCTGGATACTGGGATCAATTCCTCAGCTACTGTGGTGTATGACTACAATAAGGTAATGAGAGGGTAGTACTGGTAGAAGTTAATAAAAAAAAAAGTAAAGCGTTGAAACTCTAGGGTTTATGGTAGAACTGGCCAATGGGTTGTATCAGATATGAGTTGTTGTCCAAAAACAGCAAGCTACCAGAAGCCTTAGTTTATGGCAATCAAGGCTAACCCTGATCACTCCAGATGTTTTAGAATGAGTTTCCCATGAAGTTCGTTGCTTTTTGCAGCTGAAACTAGTCTACATCAGCTGGAGGGCCAAAGAATTGCCATTACTGGTCTTTAATAAGAAGAAACATTTTATAATGTGATTTGTTAACATATGTGTTGTGCCTCTACAGCTGCTGATCAGCACCCGCCCTCGCCCTGGACGTGGATGTTACATCACACGCATGGATCCAGAGAATGTTCCAAGCCTTCAGAGTATTGCAGAGAATGTGCTCAGCAAGGTGAGACAGTGGGACACTTTAAGACACATATAGCCCTAAACGCAGACAGAATATAGAAACAGACAATAAACAGAGACATGGCAGAAAAACATAGACATGGAAGAGAGAATGCACACAGAGACAGGGCACAAAGAGATAGACATGAAACAGAAAATGGACACAGAGACAGGGCACAAAGAGGTAGACATGAAACAGAGAATGGACACAGGGAGACTGTGAATAGAGAGAGGAGATGCAGATATAATACAAAAAACTGATAGGAAACAGATGCAAATGAGAGATTCATTCTGGAAAATACAGTATCTCACATGTTTGTAAATATTTTATTATATCTTTTCATGTGACAACACTGAATAAATTACACTCTACCACAATGTAAAGTAGTAAGTGTACAGCCTGTATAACAGTGTAAATTTGCTGTCCCCATCAAAATGGCCCCTCAAAAATTGGCCTCGCCATGGTCGATCAAAGAAGTTGAGTGCGCATGCTCAGCGTCATATCCATAGGTTGTCTTCGGGAAATAGATGTATGAGTGCTGCCAGCATTGCTACAGAAGTTGAAGAGGTGGGGGTCAGCCTGTCAGTGCCCAGACCATACGCCGCACACTGAATCAAATTGGTCTGCATGGATGTCATAAAGATAAATGTACAAGAAAGCACACAAACAGTTTGCTGAAGACAAGCAAACTAAGGACATGGATTACTGGAACCATGTCCTGTGGTCCGATGAGACCAAGATAAACTTATTTGGTTCAGATGGTGTCAAGCGTGTGTGGCGGCAACCAGGTGAGGAGTACAAAGACAAGTGTGTATTGCCTACAGTCAAGCATGGTGGTGGGAGTGTCATGGTCTAGGACTACATTTGTGCTCCTGGCACTGGGGAGCTACAGTTCATTGAGGGAACCATGAATGCCAACATGTACTGTGACATACTGAAGCAGAGCATGATTCCCTCCCTTCGGAGACTGGGCCGCAGAGCAGTATTTCAACATGATAATGACCCCAAACACACATCCAAGACAACCACTGCCTTGCTAAGGAAGCTGAAGGTAAAGGTGATGGACTGGCCAAGAATGTTTTCAGACCTAAACCCTATTGAGCATCTGTGGAGTATCCTCAAATGAAAGGTGAGGGAGCGCAAGGTCTCTAACATCCATCAGCTCCGTGATGTCATCATGGAGTGGAAGAGGACTTCAGTGGCAACCTGTGAAGCTCTGGTGAACTCCGTGCCCATGAGGGTTAAGGCAGTGCTGTAAAATAATGGTGGCCACACAAAATATTGACACTTTGGGCCCAATTTGAACATTTCCACTTAGGGGTGTACTCATTTTTGTTGCCAATGGTTTAGACATTAAGGGCTGTGTGTTGAGTTATTTTGAGGGTACAGCAAATTTACATTGTTATACAGGCTGTACACGTACTACATTACATTGTAACAGAGTTTAATTTCTTCAGTATTGTCACATGAAAAGATATAATAAAATATTTACAAAAATGTGAGGGGTGTACTCACTTTTGTGAGATACTGTTTATCCAAAAGGAGTGAGATAAGAATTATAAATAATAAAACCAGAAAAAAAAACAGATGGGAAACAAAGGTAATTAAAACAATACACCAATATATAGAGAAGGGTATTAAAGGTACACCCAAGACCCCTAAAGCACAACATTTTATGTGTGAAGAGTGTGTCTTCTTTTTTCATTTTGCTAAAAATGCAGATTTCAATAGAAATTGGCACTTTTATAAATTAACATAGTGTGAACCCCCTGTATAACAATGTAAATTTGACTTTCAAGCAGACAACTGGTCCAGTTACTTCCTGGTTTAATTAGCTCAGTGGAGCTAAACTCAAGAGGCAGGCACTGCTCAGAGCAACTGCCTTGCAAAGACTTCTCATTGACCTGCATTGGGAAGTCTGTGACTGGAGAGTCGCAGAAAGTCTGATTGGGGTAAGAAGAGGAGGGCTTGCAAAGGCAGCAGACAAGAAAACAGCAAGTTTTGCAAGCTGTTTTTATATATGACTCCAATGAAAAAAAAATGCATAATTAAATGTATGCAAGTTTTCATTTGGGGTATATCTATTACATAGTAAATTTGATTTATGTTTGTATTTGTGCAGGGAAGTATCCCTTTAACATTACATCTTGGTTCCTATTTGCAACATTAATCTATGCAAAAAAATATGTAATGAATAACTAATAATCACATATGCCCATATGGGTATATGGTGATCATCGACCATCATTAGACCCTATTCTTGCATGGCATTCTCACAGACAGACTAACGTGGAACATCGCATAAACAGGCTAAGCCAAAGATGACATAACCTTTCTGTTGAAAGAACTGCTTTGTTCCCTTGAAATGGACATGGATGGACAGGAATACAATTTTTTTCCATTGATGTTTTCATTAAAAAAAAATATTTGTGGCTTGACTGCTCCTTTAAGCAAACAGTGGTTCAGTCATTCCACATGGCCACAAACAACTGTTTCACATAAATTTACATCCAAAACACATTACACTGGAAAGCTTGGAAAGCTTTTAAAACACTGGAGATTTCACTAATTTAAAATGTATAAAGTAGCTCTATGAAGTCTTGTTTTCTAATGTTCTAATGTTTGAAAAGGCCCTCTTGTAATACATAGGGAATTTCACTGATGTGAAATCCCTTCAACTTATATCATTTACTAAATGTCCCTGAATAGAAATTAAATTAAGCTTACTGTGCACCCGCAATTAATGGCTGTATTTGCTGCCCGCAAGTGCAAATGGGTCCATCCAGAAGGCATATTTTTAAACTCGATCTATTTTTGCTATTCAGAATCATTTTATTCAGATTTAAAGCTATTTACAACTCCAGAATGTTTTCAATTATAGTGTATTGTGGGTTTCCTTTTCTGACATTCTAAACACATTAATATAATTGTGTGTTATCATCACTGCCTGAACCAGAAATAGATGAAAAAATAGTGTAATCCATTAAAAGCAAATGCATATGACTAAGTATATATAATGAAACCCCTCACATGACGCAGAGCCTTCAACAGACTCTGTAAAAGTCGTTTTAAAGAGGCCTTCCATGAATTCCAATTTAGCCACTACTGACCCGATTTTATGTACCTGTCCTGATGTCATGCTGCCTTTATGAATGGAGAGCTACTGACTGGCTTAGAGCATCAGCTTGAGCTCTCAGCCAATCAACAAAGACCTTGCCCAATGCTGTCCGAGGTTTTCTATTTCAAGAACCAAAAAAAGTGGAAGGAAAAGGAAAGAGCTAAACAGCATTGGAGTTTAGATATTGGGGTTAAACTATTCATTAACGGTTTAACTCCTAAAGGTAAGCTGGCACCAAAGACCTTCTGGTACCATAACAACTTTATTCTAATGATGTTCTGTTTGTTGTTATGATGCCGAAAGCATTTCTTTAAGACCAAAATAGCCAAATTAGGAAAAGTCAGTTATGCTTCCAGCTAGACTATTTTAAAATTCAATTTGAAACCACATTGAATTCACCCTTTAGTCATTAACCATGTGCATTAAAACCACTTACATAATAAAATAGTAAGGCATTTCTCTGTAGGGTAACTCACAAACTGCGTTTCAACATGAGGGGGACACCATTCCATACAGCTTAAAGGGATTCACTGACTTTTTTATCATTTTATTTTATTTTAGATTGGACAGAAAGAAGGTACCTCCCAGCAGCTTGTAACGGACCTTTCCGTGCTGGGAACGACCAGTCGAGTTTTGTGTGGACAACTTCCCGTGTACTGGGCCTGAGCCTGCATTCTTCCATCTGTACTTAAACACATTTAAGATCCTGCAATCGTAGTGTGAATTGTTGGCCTCCTCCATGCGTACAATGAAATGATTCTTTCATTGGGACACTGTGTAACCACTTTACCTGAAAACCTCATAAATCCTATATAAATGATCACCTTCAAGTAATCTGTCACTGACATGTGGTGGGATCTCACTGTCACCTCCAGATGTACAGCATTAACTGCCTTCATGTAACCTCCACACACTTCATTACACTTCTACCTACCCTGAAATTGTGTTTGTCAAATATCCAATCTGCATTTGTGGTTTCACATCCTATATTGTGACCTGTCACTGCTAGGTGCAATATGATCTATCTTGTCACAGATATTCGTCTTCTGAGCCCTAGGTCCTGCCAACTCCAAACACAGAAACCTATTTTTCATCAAAGTGACTGTCATATCAATATATATATTTTCTGGGTTTTACACTTTTGTGTCATATCCCCCACATCACACAGAGCATAGCTCCACCGTGTGACCAACACCAAACACATTGTAGTCCTTATATCTCCTGAATTTGTTCCCTGTGTCCTGTCACCCATGTTAGACAACACCGTGCATCTCCTCGGTGTCCAGTCAGCCCACACCAAAAACAGAGTAAATATTGCACCACTGTTACCACTCCTACTGTATGACCCACAACAAACTTTATTTCCTGTCTTCCTAGCCACAATGTAACCCTTACAATTTAGCTTGTGTACTCCATCCGTGTGGCCCTCTTCTGCTTGTCTCATTCTCCCTTCACAATTTGTTCCCAATTATAGACTGCCTCTCGGTTCTGTATATACTGGATTAGCTGTAATGGTTTTGGGGTTTCCTTACCTGTGATTTTATGTTGTCTGTTGTTGAAAGAAATCACATTTCTGGAAAAATAAAATGTTCAGCATGCAGAATGGGCTCTATATTATTTATATACGATATGTGCATATAACTGTGTTAGAACTAGCTTAAGGGAAATAAAATAATTTCTTCTCTGTCGTTAGCTAAAATACCTATTACCTATGTTCATACCTTGAGGATGCAAGTTTGATTTACCAAACTAGCAAATGCTATCTCTTTCCTTCTAATGTTTATTAAACTGATTTCACTGAGTTTAACAATGATAAAATCTGTATCGCAGTAAATACTATCCTATACTGTCCTATTAACAACGACAGTGAATTTTGCACCATAAGCTAAAAGGAACACTATTGTCACCCAGACATCTTCATCTCAATGAAGTGGTCTGGGTGCAGTGTTCCTGTCCCCTTAACCTGTCAATGTAAAATATTGTAGTTTTTTTTAGCAACTACAATGTTTAAAGTACAGGGTTTACTCTTCCTCAAATTCATACGCATGCCTCCTTCATGAGGACACCTGAGATCTGCCAAGGGAGACTCGGCACTAGAAACAAAGTGAGTGAAAAGTGTTTTTAATCCTTTCACTGCCAAACTGGAGGAGAGCGACACGGAGAAGAACGCCATAACGTTAAGAATACAGATTTGGATTCCTAACACTATAATGTTCCTTTAAAAAGGGTTAAGCAGTGATCCTGAAGCACCTATCATGTCTGTCACTAGATGTGTTAATAGGCAGTTTTCTCTGAAAAGACAGTGCTTACATTAAAAAGCCTGCAGGGACAGGCAATAGACACCAGAACCACTATATTAATCTGTTAATCTGTAGTTCTGTTGACTAGAGTGTCCCTTTAAGGTTTTAATAACATTTCAGGCATCCAGATAACCACATATTATAGTTGTAAATTAATGCCCACATTATAATCTTCTTCTGCCTGTTGCAATAGGCATCCTTAAAGGGATACTTTAAGGATAATAACCAATAAAGCTCACTGTACTTTGTCGTTCATACTTCAGCACTAGCAATATAAATTTTGTACGAGTTTGGACATTACTCATTGGCTGAAAGTCTTAGATGACACTCTCAGCCTATGAACAATGTCCAAAGTTGAACAAGTCACATTCTCCAATTAGAGTCGATACCTTTCTTGGAAAGAAATACTGTCCATGCTAATTGGATTAATTATACAGTTTATGCATAACATCTCAGAGAGTAACAGAAAAGAAAAATACATTTAAAGGGAAAAGTTCCATAAATCGGAGTCATTATGTGAGTACCGGGACATGAAGGAGCTTTTAAAATGATCTGCGTTGGAACTTCTTTTGAAGTTCATACTGTCCGCCTATTTAAACACACTCCTTTAAGAATTGCTATACTCTACCGCTTCCCCTCCTCCCTGCCCCCAGTCATGCTAAGCTATTCATTGAGCACTTTTCTTCCTGGCTTCCCCACTTCCTCTCATCTAGCACTCCTTCGCTTTATACTTGGGGATTTTAATATCCCAATCAACAACCCCAGCTGCACTGATGCCTCTAGTCTGCTCTCTGTAACCTCCTCCTTTGGCTTACGCAATGGTCCAATTTAGCAACCCATACAGCGGGAAACACTCTTGATCTCGCCTTCACCAATCTCTGTACAGCCTCTAATCTCTCCAATATGCCCTTTCCTCTATCTGACCACCATCTGCTGACTTCTGACATCGGCACACCCAAGACCCAATTGACACCACCATCTGAACATCAATCTCACAGAAACCTCCAATGTCTTGACCTAGAGGATTTCTCCACAAATCTCCTCAGACTTTGCAACTCACTTCACTGACAAGATCTTTACAATCAGGGAAGAGATCTCTCATCTTTCTTCTTCTCCTTACAATACTTCCCCTAACCTCACTCCCTCTGCTGTTCTATGCTCATTAGCACCCGCTACAGCGGAAGAGGTTTCTGCTCTGCTCCAGTCCTCCCGCCCCACCAACTGCACCCTAGATCCAATTCCCTCGCATCTCATCCGTACTCTGTCTTTTTCTCTTTCTCTACCTCTCACAAAAATTCTCAATCTCTCTCTCTCCTCATGAAGGAGACATGCGTATGAATTTGAGGAAGAGTAAACCCTGTAATATAAACATTGTAGTTTCTAAAAAAAATGCAATATTTTACATTGACAAGTTAAGGGGACAGGAACACTGCACCCAGACCACTTCATTGAGATGAAGATGTCTAGGTGACAGTAGTGTTCCTTTTAGCTTATGGTTCAAAATTCTCCCTCCAAGTCAACGGTGCTACCATCCACTCCACCACGCAGGCTTGCTGCCTAGGTGTTCTCTTTGACTCCGACCTTTCCTTCAAACCTCATGTTCAGTCTATCGCAAAATCCTACTGCTTCCATCTCAAAAACATTGCGCGCATCCGACCCTACTTAACGCCAGATGCGACTAAGGTGCTGGTCCATTCCACTGTCCTTTCTCGCCTTGACTACTGTAATCTGCTTCTCAGTGGTCTTACGTGCTCCCAACTTGCGCCATTACAGTCCATAATGAATGTGGTGGCGAGGCTCATCTTCCTGTCCGCCTACACCTCCCAGACCTCACCCTTCTGTCAGTCCCTACATTGGCTTCCTGTAAGATATAGAGCTCAATTTAAAATTCTGGTTCTTGCTTTCAAATCTCTACATAATGCTTCTCCCACTTATCTATCCTCCCCAATATACAAGTATGTCCCGTCTAGGCCCCTACGCTTTGCTGAAGACTTACGTCTATCTTCTGTCCGTACTCCCACCTCTGATGCTCGCCTCCAAGACTTCTCGAGGGCTGCACTGTTCCTGTGGAACTTACTCCCCTTCTCCATTAGATGCTCACCCAGTCTCCACTCCTTCAAAAAATCATTACCACTTCATAAAAGCGTATCAATTAAACTGTTATTAGCTCCTGACTGTTTCCTCTCTTGCAACTGTCATTCGTCTAATACTATCCTTACCTTTTGTGTTAGTTTACACAAGTCCCTCTAACAGGGAAGCTCATTGAGCAGGGCCCTCAACCTGTTCCTGTGTGTCTAACTTGTCTGGTTACAACTACATGTTTGTTCGTCCACCCACTGTAAAGCGCTCCGGAATTTGTTGGCACTATATAAATAATAACATACATAAAAATAATAATAATAGAGGTGCTGACTAAAATGCTCCCCCATTAGACCATGAGGGCTCCTGCACTCCACTAGACTACAGGGAGTGATACCCTATCCTGTCAAGAAGTAAAGGCGGGGGACAAATTAAAATTTCCACAGACACTACACACAACTCTCAACCAATACACTCTCGCACATGTCACTCAGCCCCTCCCCCCCCCCAACAAACACACAAACACAGATATACAACACTCAGAAACAAAGCCCAGGGTTCTATGAAGCGACCCCAATCTGACAATCTGCTTCAAACACATACAATAATATTATATGAGTGCATACTGGAGATTTCACTGCTGAAATAACCTAACATGACAAGCACAGGTCCTGATGGGTTTCAGGACACATAGGTTGTAACTGAGTGCCAGGTCCATGGGTGGCCACAAGGGGCACTGGATTTTTCCGCTTGTTCTGCTGTTTTTCATGTGAGATTGAAAATACAGTGCAATACCAGTGTGTATGGAGAGAGACAGGGATAGGAAGCTACATCTTATCCCAGCATCTCTCAACTGACTGCATCCGCAGGGGAGCAGCACATGCAGTCAGCAACTCCCAGCATGCAAAGACAGTGAGGCATGGGGGGAAGCCTATAGATCAGGGAAGTGAGGCATGGGGGCAGCCTATAGATCAGGGAAGTGAGACATGGGGGCAGCCTATAGATCAGGGAAGTGAGGCATGGGGGGCAGCCTATAGATCAGGGAAGTGAGGCATAGGGGAGGCAGCCTCTAGATCAGGGAAGTTAGGCATGGGGGACAGCTTAAAAATCAGGAAGTGAGGCATGGGGGCAGCCTATCAGGGAAGTGAGGCAGGAGGCAGCCTATAGATCAGGGAAGTGAGGCATGGGCCTATAGATCAGGGAAGTGAGGCAAGGGAAGCCTATAGATCAGGGAAGTGAGGCATGGGGGCAGCCTGGGAAGTGAGGCATGTGGGCAGCTTAAAAATCAGGGAAGTGAGGCATGGTGGCAGCCTAAAAATCAGGGAAGTGAGGCATGGGGGTCAGCCTATAGATCAGGAAAGTGAGGCATGGGGGGGCAGCCTCTAGATCAGGGAACTGAGGCATGGGGGGAAGTGTATAGATCAGGTAAGTGAGGCATGGGGGGCAGCCTATAGATCAGGGAGTGAGGCATGGGGGAGGGGAGAAATCCTATAGATCAGGTAAGTAAAGGATGGGGGGAGAAAGCCTATAGATCAGGTAAGTGAGGGATGGGGGAGAGACAGCATACAGATCAGGTAAGTGAGAGATGGGGGATCCACCTACAGATCAGGTAAGTGAGGTATGGGGGGGAGACTGCTTATAGATCAGGTGAGAGGTGAGAGGGGTGCAGCATACAGATCAGGTAAGTGAGAGATGGGGGGATCCACCTACAGATCAGGTAAGTGAGGGATGGGTGGGGAGACAGCCTATATATAGATCAGGTAAGTGAGGGATGGGGGGAGGCAGCCTATAGATCAGGTAAGTGAGGGATAGAGGAGACAGCCTACAGAAAGGGTCAGCAAGGAGCTGGAAAGGACAGCAAGGAGCAGGAAGGGGCAGAAGGAGCACAAAGGTAAAGTAGGAGAAGGTACAGAAATGAGCAGGAAGGGTCAGCAACATGCAGGAAGGGTCAGCAAGGAGCTGGAAGGTAAATCAACACAAAGGTAAAGTAGAAGGAGCAGAAAGGGTCAGCAAGGAGCTGGGAAGGACAGCAAGGAGCAGGAAGGGACAGAAGGAGCACAAAGGTAAAGTAGGAAAAGGTACAGAAATGAGCAGGAAGGGACATCAAGGAGCAGAAAGGGTCAGCAATGAGCTGGGAGAGGCAGAAGGAGCACAAACATAAAGTAGGAGAAGGAGCAGAAATTAGCAGGAAGGGTCAGCAAGGAGCAGGAAGGGTCTGCAAGGAGAAGGAAGGGTCTGCAAAGAGCAGAAAAAGGGCAGAAGGAGACCAAAGGCAAAGGAGCAGAAAGAATCAGAAGGAGAACAAAGGTAAAGGATCAGAAAGAATCAGAAGGAGCACAAAGGTAAAGTAGGAGAAGGAGCAGAAAAGGGTAGCAAGGAGCAGAAAGGGACAGCAAGGAGCACAAAGCTAAAGTAGGAG